TGGGTACTGGAACAAACAAAATTGTCGAATTTATGACGATACGATTTCATATGAGATCCAAGTGCGTCTAATGTAGCCCAAAAAAGTCACTGTTTGGTGTGGATTCTAGGCTGGCGGCGTCATCGGTCCATATTTCTTTGAGAACGAGGTTGGCCAGGCCATCACTGTCAACGGCGGGCACTATAGCTCGATGATCACCAACTACGTTTGTCCTGAATTGGTTGATCTGGACAACAACAAGTGTTTTTTAAGGACATGACATAAGCACTACAGAAACGTTCTTAAGGCGCTCTCGGAGCGGTGCCTGTGCGAAAGTAGCGATTTACATTAGATTTGCATCGCTGGAGGTTAAATTCATTTGGAAAAACGTTCTCAGGAAGTTTATTCTACATAAACGCAGTTCTTGATATAGAAGAGTTCTTAATTGTTCAGCTAGTAGATTCGCTGTTTCTATGGATGTTGTTGCAATTGAAATATCCGCTTATATCAATGGTGGAATTGTAGATTTTGTAAAGTTTTGTTTAACATCATTAGCAACCGACCAGAAGGATCATGACCCGTTGGGATTGGCACACAGTTTATCCCTAATTCTCTGATTGTGAAGTTCTTTGCTTTCATTTATCCTACGTTTGCAGCTATGGCGAACGTTAACAAACCTAGTTCGGTTTTTGGTACTGGGATTTTTGCGCCACTAAGGGTAGGCGAGATTTTTGGAGGCGACAGCTCGATCGCAATTTTTGTAGAACCAAGGTTTGCCGTTAGAAGGTCGTTTCATTCATCAAGGAATATATGCATCAATGGATGATAGAATAACTTCCGTGACTTCAGAAGCCCAAGTTGATGGATCTTTAGAGCTGAAACAAACATCTAGTCGAAGGAAATTTCAGAAATGGTCTTGAAGATCTTTCCATTCAGCTGATCTATAATGTCAAACTTTGCGCGGCTTAGATTGTTCACCAACATTAATCGGTAATTTATTCAAAACTAAAATGAGTTTGTGATCAGAAGAATTTCGTACACGGATGCAGGCCCAAATAACGATGCAAAATTAGCCAAGTTGTGATCTGCGAAAGGCCGAGAGTTCTTGTGAGTGACGCGAAATCAACTGTATCGGAGTCATTTTCACACTTACCAACAGTGACGACGTTTTTGACACTTCTTGCGTTTTGTCGACGTACAGGTGTTGGTCGACCGTTTACTGAACCAATGGACTCAAATTTATCCACCACGTTGCGAATAGTCCTCTCGATTATGGCGACCGTGAAATAGACGAAGCGCGAGGTACGTTGCCAGAACAGAACAGCCATTTTGATGGAACAATTGTATTATTTGCATATACATCAATGTTGTACCCGTCCATGGTAATTTAAAATGATTATTTCTTGTCAAATGTTACTAAATGGACATTTGGAACTAACGATTGAAGTGAACAAGGCCTGAGCCTTGTTCACTTCAATAACCTAAAGTACCAAACGTCTGCTTTTGCGCCAGACTAAACGTTGCTTCGGAGGTCGAAGGTTATATTCCGAAGTTCCAGCAACGATTTTTTGGTGAGTTAGTTGCTCACTCGTATCTATAATTCCAGAGGATGGTGGGAGCGATGGCGGGGTGGCACTATTGATTGGTCCGAACTGGTTGTTCTGATTGCTCCATGTTGTTGACATATATGCTACTGGTAGGATGTCGATCGGAGTTGTATTCTAGTCCACTTCTGGCCTGTTTACCACATTCTGTTGACCCGTATACCGTCTATTTTATGCTGGATGTCAGAGGCTGTCAGAGACTCCTGTACTTGGCCGATGTGCAAGTCTTGTTCAGTCGATTAGTAGCCTCCTAAATGGTGTTAATGCTGTGACGATTGAATAGTTTATTGATGCGATCCATGACTTTGTTTATGTAAGAAAAATAGGCTGGCTTCTGGCGGTTATATCGTTGTCAAAGTTGAAGTATTTCTTCTTTAAATATGTATAGCACGTTTGATTTCTTGCACTGTGAAATCATTCACCTATAGTAGAGCTCAGTCAAAATGACAAAGTCCTTCTTCAAGACAATGTGGTTCACAAATCCTGGTGACACGACCAACAAGTACTTTCATGATAGCATCGATTTGCTCTGGAAGGTGGTTTGGGTTCTCGTTGAGATACTGATCAGTATGAGTAAGTTTGCGATAACCTGTGTGACCTAGTTTTTCTTCTGTTCTTCTGTTGACGAGTATATTAAAAAATTGCATTTTTCCTTTCATTTTTATTTTCCATGGTGAACTAGATGATGAGCGTTAATTAGCCGTTTCTGACAAACTATTTAACGGATCAACTTGAAAATTTCACAGTATGCATAAATCAATATGACCTACACGCTTAAAATATTTCAGACGAAGCGGCGTTGTCGCTTCTACTATAAAGTAGCGGCTTCTTTGATTTTTCAAATGGAACACCCCGTATATAATATCATATTATGATTCATTATCACTTCGTCAACAAATTCATATACTATTTCCCTATACCTATCTATTACCGTTTAGAAGATATAAATTAATTTCGATATTTTTTTACCAAATATGAACTTTTATAATTGCTGATATTCTTGAACTCTCTTGCACTAAAACGATCAAATTTGAAATGGGGTGGAGTGATACTATGAGGATCTTCACTCCGAGTTATATTTTCATTTGCCTCATACAGGGTCTTCAAAAAATGCAGATACTTTGATCTCATGGAAAAATGAGTGGAACTCAATTTTTTCAAATGGAACACCCTATATATTTCAACATTTTTGAACTCTACATCCAATTTTAGATTAACTTTGTCCAGATAATACTTTTTCTATTTTGAACCGTTTTCGAGATAAACTGTTTCAAACGAAAACTGACGTGGTTTTCTTGCTCGTTGAATTCATCACTTGTTTTGGATATTCAACAGTTTTTTATACTAAGTAATATTTCTTTTTGATCCAGTTTTTTAACTGTCTCAGATCAGTCAATTCGAAATTGGTATGTACCTACCTTAGAAAAAGTTACAATTTGTATACATTGAGGTATTGGTCTCTAACGTACAACAGTACACACTTATATTTTTTAATAGTGTGCTTTGGAAAAATAAATAAACCAAATTTATTTAACGTCAGACTTTCGTTGGTGGTTTTGACTGATTGTGATAGCTACCAATTATAATAAACTAATGTCAAGATTAGGTTACAGTAATGAAGATTTCTTGAATTTATTAATAATTTATGGTGAGTGCAATAGAATTGCAAGTAGAACATGCCGATTATTTCATGAAAGATATCCACAACTTCTCTGCACGAGGCTGAAAGGGAGATAGGTATACCCTACGTGACAATTTGTCGAATTCTTAATAAGCATAAATGGCATCCCTATAAGTTCTACTGTGTCCAACATTTGAAAGAGACTGATTTACCTCGTAGAGTGGAATTCTTTGAATGGTTACTTGTCAAGACTCAAGAGGATGAACATTTCCTCGACAATATCATATGGACAGATGAGGCCAAGTTCACAAAAGTTGGAGTTTTCAATAGACACAACAGTCATTATTGGGCGCCAGAAAATCCTCATGTTGTCCGCCAAAGGGGTTTTCAAGAAAGATGGCAATTCAATGTATTTTGTGCCATAAAGAATGAGTCAATTTTTTATATCGAGTTTTATGATGATAATTTGAATGCATCAAAATATGAAGATTTACTGAGGAATGAAATTCAAATGATTTTAAATAATAGACCAGGAAGAGAACGTGTATGGTACCAAATGGATGGTATTTGAAAAATCAAAGAAGCCGCTACTTTATAGTAGAAGCGACAACGCCGCTTCATCTAAAATATTTTAGGCGTGTATAGTTTGCCAGAAACGGCTAATTAAAGCGCATCATGAAAAGCCCAGTATATGTCATTAACATAGCGAAATCCATAAATAGGTTTTGATGAAGTGATGCTTAGTGCTTTCTTCCACGCTATCTCAGGGCTGAGAGAATTACCCATAGCGACTTCGCACATTTTTTCATAGAAACAGTTATTTCAATGAAAATATGTAGATGTGGAAACATGGCCGAAGAGAGCTGAGAAATTTCGTTTGATCTGATCCAACGTCTCCCCCACCGCCTCCACCACCGTCCTTTGAAATTATAAATACGAGTCAACAAGTAGTTTGCCAGTCAGTCGTTGCTGAGAAATCGAGATATAATATTCGTCCTCGCAGTCAATGTACATATCACTGGTGATGTCTACCAAAGTAGAAGCCGAAACGCTTGATACTTTATTCGATCATGGCTTATCAGCCAGGATTTTGTTTTCTTTAATCGTGATCCGACCGTGAAAGTGTATATTCTTATATTAGGAACTAAGATTTTCACAAAGTTTCACATTCAACTGATAACTTCTAATTTTTCAATAGGCACTAAGTTTTCAGAATTAGTATCATGTGGTTATGCGGTTTCATGTTTTGTAACTGAATGTTCAACTAATCAAAAGCAGTACTGGAATCTCTGGCCAGATTACATCCAAAATAAGCTCTGCTCCCACAAACCTCAATATTTTTGTATATACTGGGAAATGAGAATGAAGTGTATCAAATTCAATTCAATGAATAAAAAAAAATCAAAATGAGATTCACCTTATAGTTAAATGATGGTAGAGAAATTTGTACGCGAATTAGATTTTTTTGTACTTTTTTTGATATCAAAGAAACGGTCTAGAGTTCTGTATTCTCAAAAATAGACGTTTCCCAATACTGCAATGAATAATGTGGTTTCATTGAAAAACAGCAATAAATAAATCACATTAATTTTTGTCAATACTTCGACATATTAGAGCTATTTCTACAGATTGTTTTATTTGAAATAACCATTATTCCACGAGAACACGTATTTTAATGCTATATGAGTTTTACGATGGCTCAATTTGAATTTCACTGTACCCACCAAATATGACAAACATTTTTTTTCGAAAACGAATCATAAAATATTTGAGAAGCAAAAATGCAAGAAGCTCACCTGAGGTATTAAAGTAAGTCCAACTGTGATTCCTGCAACGAAGTCGCCTACTGCGCATGCTCCGTCATATCTTGGTAACCAATCGAGAATGGGTACCCTCCTGTATAACATTTTTTTCGTGCATGCTTTCTTGATTTTTTCCTTGGTCGATGGGAACACATCTTTCAATACATTTCCAAATGATTTCGCAGAACCATTCAACACTGAAACCAAAAATATTTTTGTATACGCATTCTAGTAATTTTGGATTATATTCATGAAATAGATTAGTAAGACGACGCGACTTCGCATGTGTAGCAATCATATGAGCCTACACTTTTTTCTGTCGTAGGGTCACATCGGCTTGTCAAAGAATGTTCCAGTTTTCAACTTAAGGGAGTACTTTTAAATATCCAGTGGGTTTCCTAACAATGGTACGAAACTTCAAGAGGATGATTCGTTATGCCGTTTTGAGCAAGTTTTCATGAACATATGACTGGAGCTGCTTTGCTTCTGAGATACAGGGCGTTGCTACAGTTATTTGAAGTAATGAGGCTCTTAACTGTGCTGACATGCACTTTATTGGATTAGCAAATGGAAATGCGGAAGAAGCACGGAGAATATACCAGGACAGATATCTTAACAGAGAAATTCCATGTGCTAAAACATTTAGAACGCTACATGCAAGATTATGTGAAACTGGGAGTTTTAATAAAAATGCAGGTGGTGAAAGACCAGAAACTGTAACAATGCTGAACTAGAAGAAGCTATACTTGATGCGATAGAGGAAGATTTTTCAAAAAGTACTACGTACTGTAGCTGGAAGTCGGCACAGAAATCGCGTGGACAGGACATTTATGATATTTTATTAATACCCTTTTTCAAACTTCATCGCTCGGTATTTCAGAAACGAAGCAACTCATGGCATATGTCCATAGGAAGTTTTTTTCAAACGATCTAATGAATCCCCCTCTGAAGTTTCGTTCCGTAGTTAGGAAACACCCTGTATATAGAGGATTGAGGGTTCCGCCCAGATTATTGTGGAATGGTGAATGATGTTACGTGGTGTGGCAACTTTCTATTGGGAGTGTCTTAAAAGATGTAATAGTTGGAAGTTTTGCCCAATAGAAAGATTCACTACAATCCAGAATATTCGAGAACATTCTGAAATATTACACTACATTCTAGTTCACCCTGCAACATATTGTGGAATGCTCAGGAATAGTCTGGAACGTTCACTAAAATCCTGAACATCTCAAATAACTGTGGAACTATGGTTTGGTAGATTTCTATCTCTCATCTGTGAAGAAGGTTCCCGTTTCAACCTAAAGAGTTTGATTTTGAAGTTTTGAATATATGAGTGCTGTAAATTCTGGAGAGGGCATTCCAAAAAATCTCGAAACATTCTGGAATTTTCAGGAATAGTCTGAAACATTCGGGAATATTCTAGAACATTACAGATCAAGAGGGCAATATGTTGTGATACCTCACTATCCACCATCAAAGTTCACCCTATTTGAAGGGCGTGTTTTTGAACCATGGAAGTTTTAGAATAGCTTGTGGAATGTTCGAGAATAGTCTGGAACGTTCAGTAATATCTCTAATGCGTGGACCAATGGAAGCCTTTCTTGTATGGGTGGAGCTTTTCATTGCTGGGAGTAAACGAAGCACGATCTATCGGCCTTTTACAATTTAAAATCCATCTTTTTATTCCGAGTACCATACGATCTCTCATTAATTCTCTGAGCGAAGCCGGTAACCCGGCTAGTAACTATTGAAAATTACTTTCCATTATATTTATTCCATCAAAACTATATTCACAACTATCGGTTTCAATATTGAAATAGTCTACCTGAAGAAAACTCAAAATTAAAATCCGACCTGAACTTTCAAAATGATTCATGTAAAAATACGCTGTTCTCATCGCCACGCTTGTTATTTTCAATTTTACGATAACTCCTAAGATACTAGTTTGAATAGTATGTTGTGATATGCACTTTTCGCAATACACAAGACTTCATACTCTTCTCGACACGCGTTTCGTCAACCAAGTTGTTGTCTTCCAGAGCTGAAGAAAACTTATCTCAACATTGCTAAAGTTGGAAAAATGGTAACTGAAAATCGTCGATTGTCTGATAGAAATTTCTACGTCTCACTAATCAGTTCGTATAATTTTGATTGATTTGTTAGGCATGAAACGCGTTACCGCTCCAATAGTGCCAAAATACCTTGGTTTTCTGTAAAAACTAAATCGCCTAACGATCGCTGAAGACATGTTAGATCGAGCCAGATTCGTCCCCATGTTCATGAATGGCATTGTAACTGGTGGTGAGACAGAAATTTGCGAATTTCATATGCAATCCAGTCAACAAACTTCGGAATTGCATCTTCCAACTGGGCGAAACCGAAAAAAGATCGTCTAAGTCGATTCCAAAAAATGCCTTTGAAAATGTTTTGATGACTGGGTTGTTCTTTGCCTTGCTGACTTGAAGGTTGTCGATTGTTGGCAGCGACAGGTGGTCGCCTCCCACGGAAAAACAGATTTCAGCAGATTGATAAATTTATTACCAATCGTCTAACAATTGAAGTTTTCAACGGGAAAAATTATTTCAAATCATCACGTCAAATACTGTAAAAATTAATTGTAAGGAACTGAATAATAGCTCATTTCAGGTCTCTTGTAGCTGAATTTCAAATCGAATAAGTATTGGTTCGTTGAATAATTCTGAAGGTTACAAAGAACTCTTCTTACTTTATCACTTTTACGAACGAATATTTATATACAATGTCACATTCAATAATTGTAAACATCCTCCATTCATTATTGCTACCAGACTACTTATCGAGCCGAAGAAGCTGTTTCTTAATCGAAATCCAACTTCACGATATAACTAAGGGTGGCATTCAAGGGCTAGCTAATGCCTGTTGAGGCTATCATCAGCGAGGGATGCTGGGTCAAAAGAAAACTTTCAATTTTATAAGGAATAGTATCTAATATTATCGAGGATGACTTCACAGACTCTAGCAGCAAATATTAAACATATAACAGATTGACCAATTAAGTGGGTAACCAAAGTATACTTGAGGTTTACATCTAGTAAAATAAATAAATATCCAGATTCGTCATTTTCTTTAATAGTCTTCTTGAATCTACGGTGTTGGACCCAAGATGTTTTGAATAAATGAATGCAGAAAGCCATTATGACTAGCAGATATAATCACCAAACAGAAACAATACAGATCTCACTTGATTTGGTTGGTATTCTATCCAGGGTACCGGTTATGACCTTCGGTGGTGTACAAGTTCACACTGACCAAGGTGGGCAGAAATATGGATCTCGAATTAGGTTAGTTGGGTGGGTGAACATGTAGATTGGGAAAGTTCGACGAAAGCTTATAGACGTACGAGATATGGTGTCGCTGAAGTACAGGAACGCCTTAGGTGGTAGGTGGCCTTCGATACTTGCAGCAACAGGCAGATAGATTAGAGAAATGGGCCAACCTGTGGAAGATCAGTATAAACCCTGACAAGAGTCAGGCAATACTGTTCACCCCGAGGATGGTACACTCGGAAGAAAATGTCATCTTCAACGAACAAGAGATTTCGTGAACCAACGAAGCTAGATACTTGGGGGTCAACCTAGACAAAAGATAACGTTCAGGTCTCACGTATGGCAGAGAATAGGAATGGCGAGATCTGCCCGACAAAACCTATTACCAATAATAGGTCGAAGAAGCAACATGGGACTGAAAGTGAAGCTACTGATGATAAAGACCGTTATACTTTCGATAATCCTGTGTGCTGCACTGCCTGGGGCAGTGCGCAGCGACATACGGAAAACAGATCCAGTCGTTTATGAACGCGTGCGTAAGGACCGCCGTAAACGCTCCAAGATATGTACCGAATAGGTACATATTCCGGGATCTAGACCGTAACATACACAATGTAGACGCATACATGAGGAAACACACAGAGGACACGTTTGATAGAATCCGAGCGCACGACAATCCAGCGCTTAGCGACCTACATAACGCACTAAATAGGAATGGCCCCAGATTCCGAGAGAGGGACAAACACAGGAGGCCAACGGAGCAGAACCAAAGACCACCCCCGAGAGTCGCTGTCAGGCGGCTCCGGTAAGTATCAAAATTTCGTAACCAGACGTCAAATTGATCCCACTATCAGATTCACTGAGAACTAACACACGTGCTCGCACACACTATAGACACTCGTTTCTGGTTAGTTTTTGGGGACCCCATGCAATAATACAGTTAGGAAGTCATGATAAAACAATTCAACAGATCAGAAAGTAAAAGCACCTAGAGGTTAACTTTCGCCCAAAGAAGGTCAGATGTCAATCTTGCTGAAGTGCCCATCAGTAAGTTGAGGACCGCTCCGGAGGAGTGAGGTTGGATGGACGAGATGGGATGTTCTGCACACATTCCTTCAATATGTCATTTGTCTAATGACAATTACGAAGAATAGATGATAAGCGTATGATACGTTGTAAGGTTAGTTCAGATAACTCAGTATTATGAATGATTTGACGTTCTGACGGATCCACTACTCTTGATTTACAATTTGAAGTTCTGGCTTAATGCGCCTGAATGGAAGCGAAATCCAATAACATAGAGAGAGAAAATTTAAAGTTCGAGCACTGCAACATAATTTCTATTAGTAAATCCATTATTATCATTTCTTCATTCATATCTCTCTATCGTGATACCTTATATTGATAATTATCTTTACAATATATAAAATAGTATTTTTGGGAAAGAAAGTTTTTGGTTTTCTACTACTCCATCTCCATCAAAAAAGGATGAGGGAATCTTTCAAAGAAAGAAAGAGAGTAATCAATTTGAAAATAAGTAACTCAAGTAACTTTCAGACACAAACTGACACTTCCATGTAAGTGCAATTTGTTACCATTCATTTAAAGTAGAACTCACGTGAATGATATCTGATTTTTATTCCACAACGAATGTTCGAAATACAAACTGAGTAGAGAAAAGTATCTTCTGTGTAATTCAGTGTTCATATAAAAGTATTTGTTTCGAAAGAACTTTTTTCTTTCATGTAATTCAATGTTTATATGAAAGTAGCTGCTTCAGGAGGACTTTCTTTCAGTTTGTGTCTGAAAGTTACTTGAGTTACTTATTTTCAAATTGATTACTCTCTTTCTTTCTTTGAAAGATTCCCTCATCCTTTTTTGATGGAAATGGA